CATCCATCCATCCATCCATCCATCCATCCATCCATCCATTCATCCATTCATTATCCACCCATCCATCCATCCACCCATTCATCCACTCACCCATCTATCTACTCATCCATCCATCCATTCATCCATTCATTATCCACCCATCCATCCATCCATCCATCCATCCACTAATCTATCCATTATTCACTCACCCATCCATCTATCCACTCATGAATCTATCTATCCATCCATCCATCCACCCATCCATCCATTCATTATCTACCCATCCATCCATCCATCCATCCATCCATCCATCCATCCATCCATCCATCCATTCATCCAACCATCCACCCATCCATCCATCCATCTATTCACTCATGAATCCATTTATCCATCCATCCATCCACCCATCCATCCATCCATCCATCCATCCATCCATCCACTCATTCATTCATTCTTTGATGGGGCATGCTGGGGCCTGTCGCTCATGATGTCCATATCCTGATCACTGACTATACAAGGTTTCCACAAGAAACAAATGAGTCAGCATCTGTAAGCTATAGCCCGAGGCCAGAGAGATAGCTCAGTGATGAAAGCATTTGACCCACAACCCTGAAGATCTGAGGTCAGGTCCCCAGAATCCATATAATGTTGGGTGGACATGGAAACCTGCCTATAATTCCAGCCTCAGAAGGCAGAGACAGGAGCCTTCTAGTGAGATTTAGCCAACCATAATGGCCAGCTCCGAGATTAGTTGAGAGATCTCCATGGATAAGGTAGGTGAGCAACTGAGGATGATCACTGACATCAGCCTTGGGCTTCACAAGCACCCACGTGCACCAACGTGAAAGTGTGTCCTTGTAAGCATACATACACAGATGCACACACACCACAAGGACAAGCCATCATTGCCTGCCACTGTGCACTAAACCAACGGCCAGCTGCAGAGATGTGGGAAGATTAAGGAAGAGACCAATAGATTCAGACGTGAGGCTTGAGGTCTATGCTAAGCAGTGTTGTTCTGTTTGCCTTTAGACCTTCTTAAGAACGGTGGGCGAGGTGCTTCTACTGCCCAGCTGGACCCATGTATCAGAGGTAAGGAAGAGAATACTTTGACCTTTAGTGTGTGTGTACTGTATCATAGCTGTCTTTCTGCAGTGGCACCCCACAGCCTTGTCTCTAAGAACAATGAAGCCTTTCTCGGTCCTGATGTTGGAGACACTGAAGTTCATTTCCTTTGGACATGAAATGCACCCCAGTGGGTGGGTGTGGGGGAAGCCTGGGACCCTCAGTCCTGTGCCACTGTCTCTGGCTCTGGGAGAGGGAGCAGCTCTTCCCGAAGGCTGACCTTTGCCTGTCGTTTCACACAGTGTATTTTTTTTCCTTATTCTGCATTCTTGAATAGTAAGAGCCATATTTGGCATTTCGAGATCAGCGGATTGAGTACGAGACGGCCGAGCTCGAAAGTGTGCTTCATGATTAAAGAGAAAATGAAAGGCTTTTGTCCCTCTGCACTCAAAATTCAAGAAGCAGAGCCGAGTCCTTCCCCTTGATTTCCAACCATCTTATTGATATTGCTTCTTTAAAACATGAGAAGAGTCAATGAATAGTTGTGGCGATAAAAATATCTAAGATAAGAATCACTCGGGACTTTCAGGCAGAGCGTGACTGTGAGCAGCCTCGTATAACCCCACAGCCCGCTCACGCACATACATTCTACAGACATCTGCTGGAACTTGATTTTCCTTAATTTTATCTAGAACTTTTGCCAAGATGGGATTGAAGAGAGAGAGAGAGCTCACAAGAAAGCAGACTGAATTTTAGATCTCAGGAATCCACACAAATGCTGGGCGGTCATGCCACCCTCCCCATAACTCCAACCTGAGAAGACGATCCCCAGAGCAAGATGGCTAGCCATATAGGTGTGCTCCAGATCTGACTAAGAGACCCTGCCTCAGTGAGCAAGGTGGAAGAATGGTTTAAGCTGATTCTCAGCATGAACCTCAGGCCCCAAATATACGCATGCACGTGTTTCCATATATACCCACACACGCAAAACACGAACTCACAAGCATACTATACACCCACACAAAATAGGGGAAAGTGGTGGGGAAGAAAACATTTGCCAAGGTACTCTTTATCCTGAGCACCATATTTGTCAACTATAGGCCATGCTACAGTAACAACAGACCCCACCTCACAGTGACTTAGCATAGCGGGTATTCACCTCTCAAATATTCAGTGATTCAGAGATTTCACGCCACACTTGGCTCCAAGAGCGCACTGAGAGAGTGTATGAAGGCTCCAAGTGTCCGGGAGGGCTCTGATGCACCAACATTCTCAAGGGCTCCTTCTCCTGAACCCTCCTCATTTCAAACATTTAAAGCTTCTCTGCCAGGTTCAGAGGCAGAAGAGACAGCCAATTCTCACCTAATTAATAAGCCGGCGCGAGGGCTTGCCGGGCCGTGAGCCCTTTATTGAACGGCTTCATGTGAAATTAGACCGTATTACATTGGCAAATGGGAAGGAGAGGGGATCAGGAATGATAAAGTGGCAGTCTTACATAGAAACACATTCTTTTTCAAGAAGCATAGACCTCCAGAGATAGGTTTCTAAGGGACTTTGTGTATAAGCTGCAGTCTGAAACGCGGGGACGATAGCCAGTAGGGACAGCCAACAGAGGGACGGCAGCCAGTGGAGGCCTCAGACCAACAGATTTTCTTCATTGATTTAAACGAACTTTCTTTGAATGTAAAATATACAAATCTGCTGCAAAATATGAATAATTATGAAACAATCCCAGCTTAGGCAAGCTTCTGAGCACTGAAGGGAAGGGAGCGCACGAATTGCTGCTCCTCATAGAACTGGGTGCCAAAGACACAGACGTTCTGATTGGAATCAGACCACGGGCCTAAGAGACAATGTCTAAAATTGGCCCACGAGTCTGGTTCCGCCTCAGTGGGTCCTCCTGGAGTGTTTGGGAGAGGTTGCCGAGAGCTTAGCAGCAACAGATACTGTCTAAGAAAGGGTGGAAGGGATGGGAGAGCGAGACAGAACTGGGCAAAGGGCCTGAGAGAGCATGTCTACCTTGCTGTGGTATCCGAGGTTCAAGAGAGTCAAGCCGAGCTGGACATAAACCCTGGCATGAATACAGGTCCTCAACAGGCAGCAGAAGTCTGTAAAGCTAGGAGGGCCCTGCCTTCCTGTGAGCAGAATCCAGTGGTATCCTTTCTGCCTTAAAGATGCTGAGTAGGTAAAGAGAAGTATTGGATGCAGAGTCAAAGAGGTCAGAGGGAATTGGAGGGACTGGTACCCTCTAAAGAGGTTGCCACTTCATTGAGGGTGGAAAAGAATCCCTGGTGTCCTCATGCCTCAGGGAACTCGGGGCTATTATCTGTAAGACTGAGGCACAGGCAGACCTGAGGTTTGCCCAGGTCCTTAGAGGCTTCATAGCAGAGCTACGAACAGGTGTCTGAGTTCTCTGGTCACTCTGGAGTTGACGCTATGACATGGGGTGAGCTTTGACTTGTGTGTCCTGTGCTCCATGAACTCATCGGGTGAATGGTTACCTCCCAGGCTTCGAAGTGGGGCAGCTGGGAGATTTTCTCTCTCTGATAGCCATTATGGGGGAAAGTGAAGCTCTGAGGTCTTTATGTGTTCATCTCACGTGATGCTGAGGATGGTGGTCCTCAGAGTTTCATGTCTGTGTTGCTTGCAGGACAACGCCGTGACGCTGGGTCTGGTTGACACCATCGATACCGTCATGGGCCACATATCATCTAACCTTCAGTCCAGAGAACCCCATGTCTCCCTCACAGGCTCTTCCTCCATGGCAGGTAGCCACTATCAGATTGGGAAGCAGTGGGGGGTTGTGGGAGAAAAAAGTGTTGGATTTGCAGGCCACCGGCTTTCACCCTGCCTGAGGCTCACACAGCAGCTGAGATAAAGCATCATTTTCTGAGCTCCAGTGCCTTGTGCAAAATCCCAGTTTGGAAGGAAACTGTGTTAGAGTTAGGTTGGAAGTGCTGGGTCACGGCATGCACACGTGACTGGGTAAGCAGTCACGACAGTGTGTGTGTGGGTGGGCGTCTCGAGACAGTCATCCGGGCTTAAACAGAATGGGAATTCCAATTCCTTGAGTATCCAGTGGGATGCTCTCTGCTTGGAGATGTGGAATGGGTGAAGAGGCCCATGGGAGGAGGAGTCAAGGAGTCCAGAATTCGAGTCTGGGTGAATGCCAGAATAGGATATCGGAGGAAGCAGCCTGACTCTCCTAGGATGTGCCCGGGGTCCCACAGTCAGGCATGTGTTCTTGGTTTTGGATCTCTGTCTCAGGATACTTCAGTACAGCAGCATCACACAGCTTCCTCCATGGCTCAGGAGCTCATCTGCCCCCGGAGGCAGCTTTTGGGGCAGCCTGTCTGCCAAGCCACGCCCTCCACACATGTGGTTTCATTGTCCCTTTTCTGATGGGGTTCCCCCAGACCTTAGACAACCAACAGGCCCCCTCACCCCCATGGGGTCTGGCATCATTGCTACCATGAAGCTGGATGCTTGGCACTAGAGGGCTGCTGAGGGGCGGGGTCCCTCCACCCAGGAGTTCCCTTAGGGCGTGGCTGGAGGACTTGGCCTCTGCAGAAATTCCCATCCTAACTCATGTTTGTGTAGACATACACATGTGTAGGTGTACACGTGTGTGGACATGCACATGTGTGTATGTGCATGTGTGTGTGCACATGTGTGTGGACATGCACATGTGTGTATGTGCATGTGTGTGTTCATGCACATGTGTGTTCTGGGTCACCCTCTCTAGAGGTGATTCCTCTCTCCTAGGTGCTGGTTAGGTATAAGAAGTGAAGGGTGGTGACACACAGGGTCTTCAGTCTGTTTCCCACAGCCGGTGAGCCTGCTGACCCCATTCACGGTGTCTTCTTCTCCTTCAGAATTCTCTGTGGCCAAGGTCCTTCCACCATCGCTGAGTGCCCTCCACTATAGATTTCCAGCCCATGGGCACAGCTACATTGAGATTCCGAGAGAGGCCCTTCACAGCCAAGGTGAGTGGATGTGGTTCTTCAGGTCCTCGGGTGCTGCGTCCTGGGTGGCTGTCCCTCTGTGGAAGCATGGGGGTTGGGTGCTCCCAGAGAAGGCTTGGTGGCAAAGCATGCCTTACCACCTCATTCCACAACACACGGTAGACCTCGGACCTAGCTGGGACTTGAGAAAATTCTACATTGCTGTGAGTCTGGCCCACCACATAGGATACTGTGTGTCCCCAGATTTGCACAGCTCCTGGTTAGTTGAATATGAGTAGATGTGGCACCTCTCCTCCTGTTCAAGGTAGCCATGGATAGGTACGTCTGTATAGAGGAGCCAGAAACTATCCCAGGACAGCTCAAATCAAGTCTCATTATGAGCAAGTGACCAAGGGTGCTTGGTTATACAGGTTCACACCGGAGCCCAGGCAGCTCTGGCCATATCTGGCTGACATCTTCTATCTGGATCCTTCTCTCTTGGATCCACTCACGGTTGAGGGTTATTATGGTTCCTCACCCTAGAGGACCTGGACAGAGGCCCAGCCCTGCCACCCAGCCCTTTTTTCTTCAAGGACTCATATTTTGTGCTGGAGGATATGTGCCCATGTCTTTAATCTCCTCCTGGCAAAGACTCAGCATTTCCTGTTCTCAGGAGAGAGGTACCATCTAGCACCTTGCATAGCATCTTATCTCCCAGACTCCGATGCAGAGCAGATTAGAAATAACCCAGTCTTCAAGAATGGACGGAAGCCATGTTCTCAACACTTACTGGAAAGCAAGCCAAACTCTGATTAAAACCCCAGTTTAGCCTGCTGATGGCTGTGTGGCCCTGGGCAGGTTTCTGACCATATCTGTGCCAGGCCAACAACGATGCCCATTTCATTGTATTGTTGCAGAACTTACAAGGCAAAGTGTGTACAAATCACTATGCAGGGCATGTAATGAGCCCCAAGTTGACAGCAGGAGAGCTCACAAAATCAGCCAATGAGGGCTGAGCGTTCTCACAATTGCGGAGAGAAAGAAACGCTGAGTGTGTGGGTCTCGCTGTAACAAGGGGCAAGGGATACATTGTAACCATCTGGCTGTTAGCTACAGCCTGTAGACCTTCATTTAAGTATCAGCATACCCCTCCTGCAGACTGACTGCGACACACTCACGGCTGGGCAACTGGCAGCCCATGAAGTGTTCCCTCTTCCTGAGGCTCTCTATGTTGTCTTGGGTCTGGAGTGGGCATAAGAGACGGGGCAGGAGGTCACTGTCCCAGCTGAGCACATTCGGACTAGCCACGGCTTCTGTGCTGTTGTAAATTTCATGGTTTTGTGGCTCTCCCTCCTTTGTGCCTCGACCCCGAGTCACCCCTTTAGCTTCACTGTGTACCTGGTTCTGCACATCTCTTGCTTATGACAGGAGTGTTGACGAGCATCCTCTCTGCTTTGTCCTCAGCCTGGACCACGATTGTCGGCCTTCTCTACCACACCATGCACTATTACCTGAACAACATCCCCCCAGCCAGCACCGAGTGAGTGTGGTACAGTGGTGTGGGAGTGGGGTGGGGGTGTATGTGCTCGTTTCCTGGATGGCTGACCTCCAAGATACTACACTTCCACACACATGCATGGCTTTTTGTTAATAAACTCTGGCTACCAGCACCTGCTGTCTTGCCATTCAAGCCAGGTTGGGCTTCTAGCCCTTTGGAGAAGATTCGGGAATTCCATCAAGTGGGATCCAGCAGGCTCTGGGACAGACAGGTCAGCTATGTTCAGAGGTATTCCCTAAGTTCTCTGAGCCTCAGTTTCCACATCTATAGAATGGGAAGACAGCAGGCCTGCCTTTATGATTGTCTCCCTTGAGAAGATGTCCCCCCACCCCTCACATTTCCTTCTTCTACAGTTGGTATGAGGAGATTAGGGAGCTCAGGTACATAATTAAACTCACCCCAGGGGTCAGGGGTCATTCCCAGGTCAAACTCACCAGATCCCAATTGTAACTTCTACATAGCAGGTATCTCACCGAACCATTCCTGACCTTGGCATTTTAACCTTAGGACTCCAAAACAGAGACAGGGGGATGTCGGTGGGCTGTTGCAGATTGGAGTGAGGCAGGGAAATCTGGTTGGAATTGTTTTAAGCAAATGAGGGACTTGTTGGATAGTGTAAACTCTGAGCATCCTGCGAGCATCTGGCTTCAGGGGCAGCATGGTCCAACTGTCCAGGTGATGTTACCAGGTCCCATCTCTAGGCTTTTCCCAGGGTGGTCTCCTTCTCTGTTGGGCAGTCTCCTTACAGTTTTAAGTCAGGGAGACCTTGTCTTTCAGGGCTGACATCCAGCAGAGACTGTGTCCCAGCACTCCCTCTTGGTTTCTCCTCTGTGGAAAGGTCTGGATCCTGATCTCATTCCTGAGCTGTGATGTGGTTGGACAATGTGCTGTGCTGGCCAGTACAGCTCTAGATGGCAGGGCTTGTTCCCAGCCATGGACTCAGTTTCCTCTAGCTGAGTGGAGGAAGAGTGGTCAACTGTGTGACCTGAGAGAACTGAGGGACCTTCATGAGGAAACAGATAGACAGGAGGCGATGTGACGGTGGACATCACCACACAAGAATTAATCACACGCTTGTGTCATTGGAGAACATAAGGTTCAGACAGGGCGAGCTGGTGCCTGAGATAACAGAGCCAGGCAATGCGCTGAAATTCCAAGCCTGGGGTCAAAGACCTGTTCTTCTACATTCCCTGGTATATTTTAAGGTCCTGCCCCATCTCACCTCCCAGTCATGTCACACTTCCAAGAGGATAGAACGGAGGGACAGAAATAAGACGCTCAGCTGCAGAGGCCACATCCAGACACAGGATCAAGTGTCAGTCTCAGAACACCTGGCTTCAGTCTAGCTGCCCCATGTGTAACCCATTTCCACTGATTTCCCAGGATTCCTGAGGCTGTGAACTGCAGAGACTGCCTGTTGTCTGTCGCCAGCCACCTGATCTCCCTGGAGGTGTCCCCACCACCTACTCTGTCCCAGAACCTATCTGGTTCTCCTCTGATCACTGCTCATCTCAAACACAGACTGGTGAGTGAAAGACGCTTCTCTTGCTGGCTCTCGGTATGGTCGGCATGACTGGCGCGAGGTCAAGAGCCATCCATGGGCCTAGTGCTAAGTAAAGAGTACATTTTGCTCTCCAGAGGCCATTTCCTTCCAATTTAGTTCTTGAAGCCCATGGCTGAGCCTCGCCAATTGACATGGGCTGACATTGAGTGAAGAGGCTTCTACCCTCCTTGCCCTGCCCTGCCGTCTGTGGCCCTCCTAGGGGAGTATAGCCCTTATGGGTATGCCCCTGGCTTGTGGCAATATTTTGTTTGGAGTAGAGGGACAGCTGATCCAGGGTCAGTTAGCAGGCATAGCATGGTAAGCAAGATGCAGAGCCGAGCTCTGTCATGCGTTGTTTCAGAGCCTGAGAGTGACGCCTTTGCTTTGGTGGCATTGAAGGAATGAGCTGTTTGTCCGGATACATTCATTCACATGGGGGTTCTGTCATCTTTATGTAGCTCTGACTGTAGGGGAGCACCATCCTGTGTCGGCTTCTCCTGAGTTGGGTAGCCAGGCCCGCTGTACACCGGGGGCTGTACTGGAGGGAGAGAAATGTAACCAGGTTCTGGTGGGTATAGGCAGGATCTTGGTTGGTAGTGAGTGTACAGGCCACGAACACACCCAGGAACAGCTTTGGAGAACTGGTTCCATTTATTGGGGGGAACAAAGGCTATTTAGACCTTTGGGAGGGTGAATGGGGACTATCTGGGTAAGTGTACATCATTCATCATTGACTGGGGAAGGCGAGGTGGTAGGGATGCCTCATTTGCATGAGGAGAAATTCCAGGAGCTGTTGGATATGACCTTGTAAGGAGACAGGAAGTTTAACCTGGCTACTGGCTATTTGACTTGCTGTGCTGAGGGACAGGGGACAGGGACTAGGATATGCATATGGCAGGGTAGGGAATGATCCTACTCCTGTCCATCTCAGGATGAGATTTCTGGGGTTTGGATGAGCTTCGACCCCACTCATGCTTCAGGCCTGCTCCTCCCAGTCCCTGGACCCACAAAGGAGAACGGCAGAGATGGGATCTGATAAGCTGTTGTTTCTATGTGTGCATACTTGCACGAAACATCTTCCTGTGCATCTTTCAAAGGCTTATAGCTGGCATCTAGCCTTTTGAAGGTGGTGCTGAGTACACACAGCAGGGGGTCCTGGAGGCCTTGGGAACCTCACTGTTCCCGGTGAAGTTTATGAAGAGGGAACGCATGGGTGATAGTAGATATCAGGAAGCCAGGAGGTGGCATATTGAAAAACACAGTCAGGGACCACTCTCTGGAGGCAAGAAAAGGGGGAACAGGAAGGCAGGACAAAAGCCACTGAGGGCAGAGGGCAGACAAGTTGGCTCAGAACTGGAGTTTTATGACATCCATACACCGAGGAGTGCACACCTGTTTGTGTGCATGTGTTAGTGTGTACATGTGGGCGTGCATACGCTCAGGCTGGCTGGAAATGGAGAAATCCAAGATGTTAGACACAAGTTTGTTTCCACACTCTTCAAAGGGGGAGGTTCCTGCTTTTTTCCCCCCTTGTTTGCCTTGAAAGTATCTCTAGGCGGTTGCCAGAAACCCTGGCTTTGTCAGCTGCACTGTGCTGCTTGGCCCCATCCCCTAACCTGGTTCACAGGGCTTCCAGTATTAAGCAGCCTCCTCTGAGAATTTTGGGCTTGCTATGCAGCTGGTCCTCTGGAGAGTTCACGTCTACCTGCAAAGAGACCCCTCCCTTCCGAGAAATCTTCCATCTTGCTTTCCCCTTCTGGTGCCCCCTGGCCATGTCATGGGGGTGTGGCGGGAGAGAGGGAGGGAGGGAGGGGGGGCAGGAGAAGTCTCTAGGGCTGTTGTCTTGGAGGGTGACAGTGACAGATTCCAGCCCTCGCTCCCTTCCATCTCTCTTGGAGTCATCTGTTTGTGTGTGACTGGCTTCTGGAGACGGTATTTTATAAGTGGTCCAGGACAGACTAACACAGAGTCTTAAAGACCAATTATCTCACTAAGGTCTGATGAGGCTCCTCGGCAGCAGTAAAACAGAGTTCACCACCCAGATGTGAGCTCTGCCCAGCATACCCTGACTGGAATGTAGGTGCAGGAAGCGGGTGTAGGGGGCTCCCCCACTCACTGGAATGTTCATGGGGAGGCAACAGGAGGTTGGGACTTCTGCCTGCGTGCACATCATGCATGTGCACTGACTGGTTCTGTTGGAAAGGAAATAATGGCTTATGGGGGGGGGACCTCAGACAACCAAGGCTTGCAAGGAGCTGGTGAAGCACTGCAGACTGATCTGAATGGGGCTGTCTGTTCTGGGAAGGTACATAGCTTCCCTCTCAGCAGCAGGAGAAGACTGGACTGTCTCAGGTGCTGAATCTACTTAAGAAGGCAGTGGTAGAGTCATTGAGACACCTCAGCAGATAGGGGCATCTGCCACCAGAACCATCTGAATTTGATGCCGGGGACTCATATGGTAGAAGGACAGAGCTGTCTCCTACAAGTTATCCTCTAACCTACAGATGCACACGCACATGCACACATGCACACACAGGTGCACACACACATGTGCAAATACACAGGCACACATACATGCACACACACATATGGACACATGCATGCACATGTGCACACACGTGCGCGCGCGTGCTCACACACACACACAAATAAAAATGTAATTTAAAAAAAGAAGCCAAAGGTGGGCTCCCTGGCATTGCCCTCCATATCCTCTAGCTCCCTGTTTGTCTGGAAGCTTGCAGGCTACAGCCAGGGGAGCCAGCCTGAGAGGAAGGGATGACCTTCCAGTGCAGTGGAATTGCAGGTCCCGCCCTCCCAGTGCTGTTGGTCGTCTTGTGGAAGACTCTACTTTTGTTTTCTGTGAAGTTCTGGGAAGGTGCCAGTTTGCCAACCAGAGGGGCGGGGGAAAGGAAGGGTAGGCAAAGACACATTCCCAGCTTAATGGTCGGTTGCTTGAGTTATTTTTAACAAAGAGCTTGAATGAGAGATTGTGCCGTAAAGAGGGACTGGAGGGAATTTTTATCCTACCAGAAGAGAGTGGTAATTAAAGATAGTCATACGATTTTTTTTCTCTTTGGTGTGTGTGTGTGTATGCATGCATCTGTGTGCTTGCTTGTTTGCCTGTTTTTGGTTGGTTGGTTGGTTGAAGGTTCATGCTATCCTCCCAAGGATGCACAGGAGGTCTGTTGCTCTGACTGCAGCTGCATGAAGCAGTTCCTGAGGCATCCTCCCTGGGGCTGGCGGGAAAGAACAGAAGGAGCTGGGGGATGGAGGAGGCTTCAGCCCTTGTCTCCCCCATCCATGTCCGTAAAACATAGAACAGGGGTCACAGCACTGTCTTCCAATGTGTCAAAGCACATACAGGCTAGGATTGGGGATCCAGGCTGAGAGGCTCTCTCTTCTTGTCACAGTGAATGGTTGGTGTGGGCTCCCCAGGGTCTTGAGAGGATAGGTGCCTGTGCAGGTTTGCTTTTAATTGCTGTGATAAACACCACGGCCATAAATAAGTTGGGGGAGAAAGGTTTACTTGGTGTACGTGTCCTGAAGCCAGGCAGGAACTGAAGCGAGGCCATGCAGGATCAGCGTTGCTGAGCTTGAGGCTAAACTCATGTTCCGCTAATTTTCTTTTCTCTCCCTGGACCACCTGCCCAGCAGTGGCGCCACCCACAATGCCTTGGTCCTCACACATCAATCATTAGTCGAGAGAATGTCATACACACCTGTCTTCAGGCCAACCTGAATGAAGACATTTTCTCAGTTGAGGTTTCCTCCTGCATAGTACACTGAGCAGGTATCTGGTGAATTCCAGGGGTAGGTACAGTGTAGGCCCCCAGTCCACGTTATGGAAATCTGCTAAAAGACCCTGGGACCTAAGGCTGTATCATTCTGAATGTACGGGGTCCTGTCCACCACCCTTGATGCTCAGGCTACAGAGGATGAATGAACCAAGGAGGATCTGGGTCAGGCCAGTGTTTGGAGCTGCCCCTCTGCAGACAGATTGCCTGCCCAGGCTCGGTGTATCTATGGATTAGACGACAGGGATATCTGCTATGCTAGATCTCTGGTACCAACATTCTTGACTCCATCCTGAAGGCTGGCTATTTTAGTCCCTGGTCCGCTCTAAGTGTACCAGAAGCTGAGCCTTCTCTTGGAGTGCTAGTTCGCTCCTGGGAGTCCATTTTTTACGGAGCGTGGCATATATCTACCCAGCCTTCTAGGACTCTAGAAATGATAGTGTGTGGGAAATGTGACAGTTCTCCAGTCTAGTGTCCCCATGGAGCTGGAAGATAGGTCTGCCCACCACACTCAGGCATGGGATGCAGATATTTCTGCAGCACCTGACCTCTCTGCAGAAACAGCTGTGGCCTCTTGATTCAGCAAGATGCTGTCAAGACGTGAGGTTGTGGACACTGTTGAGAAGCTCTAGGCATCCCTCCACATCTGTAGCTTTAGTTCACTGAACTCCTGGGGCAGAGTTCCCAGCTGAGACAACCAAATACATCTCCAGATATTGCCAGGAATGCCACCGGAGATTCCCAGCTGACAACCCCATCTGTCGTTGTAGTAGTAGGAGCTACATTGTTGCCATCGTTATCCAGCATCCGATTGTGTGGACATCCTATCTCTGATCGCCTGGGGTATGCTTGGGTTGTTTTCCACTTTAGATCTTTAAGCACTGTCACTTTTCTGTTCCTTTAAAGGACAACATTTCAAAACCAATGGTTTACAGCAATTCTTTTGCTATGGTCTGTTGTGAATGAGAAAATGGTCTTTTTAAGATTTAAATTTACTTTATTTATTCGTGTATATGTATGTATTCCTGTGTCATGGCATGTGTAAAGAGGCCAGAGGACAACTTTTGGGAGTCAGGTCTTTTATTTCTATCATGTGAGTCTTGAACTTAGGTCAACAGGTTTTGGGGCAAGTACCTTTACCCACTAAACCATCTTGTTGGTTCCATGAGAAGAAAAGTCCTGTAATGT